GAGAACCTTGCCAAAGGAGCCCCCGAGGGTATCTTTCACCATTACTGCGACCAAGTAACCGACGTGACAGAGTCACATGTCAACACAGCTAGTGGCAATTCTTTACCTTATGAGTACCTCATTGTCGCAACAGGCGCTGCACAGCCACCACCAGCACGACTGGTGGCCAAGAACAAGAGTGACGGCATTGAAGAACTCCAAGGTTACCAACAGCGCATCGGCAAGGCTGGCAGAGTTGCTGTCATTGGAGGAGGAGCCGTGGGAATTGAGCTGGTGACGGAAATCAGAGAGAGATATCCCGACAAAGAGGTGACGCTTATTCACTCTAGACAACAGCTACTTCCTCGATTTGGACCCAAGCTTCATGATCATGTCATGGCGACTCTCAAAAAGCAGAACATTGAGGTCTTGCTGGGCGAGAGACCGCCTTATCCAGATGATGCTGGACAAAGTGTCCAAGAGACCAGTCTTACTCTTGCCGATGGAAAAGAAAGGACCTGGGACTTGGTGGTATGTTGAATCAGAAATTATTTAGAGTTATTACTGACCTTTCCAACAGATCCCTTGCACAGGTCTTCGCCCACGATCCGAACTACTGGCAGGATACTCTCCAGAGAGTATCGCTCCTAATGGCGAGATCTTAGTAGGGCCGACTCTCCAAGTTGAGAATCTGCCCTCATCGAAAAAGAACATATTTGCTCTTGGCGATGTGGCCCAATCTGGTGGTCCGAAGCAAGCTCGAGCTGGTATCATGCAAAGTGATATCGTGGTCAATAACCTACTGCGACTCATCAAAGGTAGCCCAGCTGAGGTTAAATACGTCCCTCATTTCTTTGAGAATACACTCAAGTTGACATTAGGAAAGGTGAGTCCATCTGTCATTTGATATCTCTTGTGCTGTGACTGATACTATGGTAGCGATTGTCTGTCATGTGGGCTCAAAAGGGCGATTACGAATGGATGAAAGAGTCCAAGAAGGAAGACGAGGATCTGAATGTCAAGCAGACGAGAAGACAATTGAACGCAAAGGCGGAAGAGTCATGAGTATGAGTTCATAAAGACGCAAGGGATCATAGTACATAGATAAATTATAGTAATTGGTATCAATAATATTGGGTATTTAGATTGACAATAATTTATAGCTTAGACTCAGCAATGGTCTCGCCAACTCGGAGCTCAGCAGTGGCGGTAGTGAAGTTCTTGACATCCTCGTGAACGTTCTTGGCGTCCTCGGCAGTGGCAGCAGCTTGGAAGTGAGCCATGCTCTCCCACTTCATGACGGTGTAGACTTGGTAGGGGCTGTCACCGCCGAGCTTGATGACCTGGGCGCTCTGGAGACCCTTGCTCTTCCATGTCCTGATATGCTGTTAGTGTTGAAGATTACGGTTTCGATGAGATATGCTTACTTCTCGGCAAGAGGCATGTGAGTCTTGACATAGTAGTCGAAATCAAAGTCGTGGCCGCTGGGGTACTGGATGACGATGGTAGCCATTGTGTTGGATGAGGTATTTATGTAGGGGTGATAAGTGTTGGTATAGAGAATGAGTTGAGTGATGAGAGAACAGCGAGGACTGGTTGGTGTTTAATATCTCTCGAGGTACGTTGCACAGATCAAGAATCTACTATCCGGATTAGTAAGATGGCAAGAAGATGACAGAAATGCCGACAGTGTTTGCATGGCAGAAATTGCATAGTCTCCCCGCTTTAGTATCGTCGGAGCGACTGACAGGCCGTTATGATGAAGCTATCCCCACCTTGAAGGCTACATTCAATCCACTTTGCGCCGGGGCTTGCCCATAACGGCTCGTGTCCGTTAGCGGTCAAACCAGACCTCGGCTCGTCCGCGAGGCCGAGGAGGCCTGATTGTCCTTTTCGCTCTCGCCGAGTCATGACAAACGCGAGCTTGTACCACAACTTGGTAAGTTCTGATAATGCAAAAGCGAAGCTGAGTCTACTTACTAATACCTGGAACTACACAATTACTACTGAACATCTCAACGATTTGCAGGAATCTTGTGGACAGTAGATTCCCGCTATGTCCAAGCTCGCTCCATTCAATCGCGAGTTCCACCGGTTCGGAATTGAATCGCTGTTTAGTGTAGCACAACACTATTACTGTCGGTCTAGAACCATATCTGCGACAACACACGTCGCTTCTGGACCTGAAACATAGGAAATACTTCTTCACTGTTTCAGAAATATTTTACTATCTGTAGAGTAATCGGGAATGGTAGACTAGACGACGGATAGTGGGTATGGCTAATTCAGGTGCTCTATAAATATCTCAACGTTGAAGAGTATATATATGACAACTCGCAAAGGCTAGCTTCATGTCATCTGGTAAACTAAGATACACGTGAAGGAGCTATATAATAATTTTCATCATTGCCAAGCATGAGATTTTTGACCATATTCAGACTCGATATCTCACCCGGTCGATTCATAGAGCCTACCGTCTGATCAACTGTAGCAGCCCTCCGAAAGGACTGCATAATCTTTGCGCAAGAGTTTTCCCGATGGCTGAACAAACTTCTTTACAAAGCTGGCTTAATAGCATTATCTTGCTCTTTGAATTTGGCACGAGCAGCTTCAATCTCGCCTCGCTTGTAGTCACACCTCTGCTTGATTTGCTCTGTCTCCGCACCCAAGGACCTAGACATACTGACTATGTCTTGGTGGAGTCTATCAATAATCTTGACAGCCATTCCTCCCTCCACAAGACTGACAATTTGAATGCATCGGCTATCAGCTTCTCCGTATCAACACTGCCGATCCGGGTACCCGGCACTGATCGGATGGAGGGTCACCTCACATTATAAGGTTTGACAAGTCCGCTTGTTTGAGTGGACTTTCATGCATGTCGGTACCATCACCAACAACATTATTGATGGACGATTGAAACCCAATCGGATGCAAATAATCTGGCCCACTATATCATATCATATCCAGTTCCCGAGAATTATCTTCAAAGTCCGCAATCTATCTGCTTAAATGACTCAATGTCAGGGGGATTCCAGCTACAAGGTACGCGAATTCATAGGTGGGAACACGAACTCGTAAGCTTTTGAGTGGAAACCAAAGGTGGAATATAACACATAGAAATGGCTGTATATAATAAGGATATGTTCCTCTCGAGTACTGCCCCTCTTACAACCTGCTTTATTATCGCAGTATCAAAACCCCAACTCGCCTTTGGATTCATAACATAAAATGTCACCTACAAACAAACTCCACGATAAGCTGGTTATCGTCATCGGCGGTACGTCCGGCATTGGCTTTGCTGTTGCCAAAGCTTGCGTTGAGCATGGCGCCAGGGTTGTCGTCGCCGGCCGCTCCCAAGGAAAGGTTGATGGCGCCATTGAAAGACTCAGGACTGTTGCCGATGAAGGATCAAAGGTTCGAGGGTATATTTGCGACTTGTCTACACCCGATGTCGAAGAAAATGTCCGACTCCTATTCGACTTTGCCACACACAATCGCGATCATAAGGTACACCACGTCGTCAACACTGCTGGGCAAATGGGATCACCACTGGCTTTGAAAGACACGACCGCAGAGGATGTTCTCAACATCTGTCAAGCCCGTGTAGTTGGAGCCGTCATGATCGCCAAGCTCTCTCTCCAATACCTTGAAGCGTCACACACGTCGTCGTACACCATGACTGGCGGCATAGGCACCTACAAACCTGTGGCCGGTTACAGTGTGCGCGATGGCCTCGGAGGGGCCAAAGATGCCTTGGCTCGGAGCCTGGCTTTGGAGATAAAGCCGATACGAGTGAACCTAATCAACCCTGGAGCCGTACAGACGGAGTTGCTTGATGATCTGGCTGGCCTGTGGGGTGAAGAAGTGATGGATCAAATTCGCGGCAAGGCGGTTTTGGGGCGAATAGGGCAGCCGGAAGATCTGGCCGAGGCATACCTGGGCATCATGAAGAATTACTTTATTACCGGGTCTATTGTTGATATTGATGGTGGGTACCAGCTCACTTGATGGAAGGAGATAGTGCTGCTCAGTGTTGTTGTTTATATTACTGGGCGATCCTTTAGGCCTTTTGAATTAAAATTGTTAACTTCAAAGAGGATAGACATTCTCGAAATTTCCAAAATGACGGGCAAAGATGATTAATATCAATGTTGGCTTGTGGTCTCTGGAGATTGATATCCAGGACTTCGTTCGACCTTTCTTGGATAAAGGGTTTGACTCGGTCTCTGGGAGATATACTGAGTCTGAAGGTAAGCCCACTCTTGAACATAGTTGAACCACTGTTTACCAAGTGATGAGGATATGAGAGAATGATGCGACGACTATTGGTGGTGTTGGTGGCCTCAGATGTTAGCCAACGAGTACAACGCGTGTCTCTTGCGAAAAAACGTGGCTGTCGAAAGAGGGTTTCGCTTGTATATCTGCAACGTCTTCTTGTACAAGGCCGGCCGTGCATCTCGGTGTCTCCCATTGGTTCTTGGCGTCGAGAAGAGAAAAGAGACGAGGAATCTATTCTATAACCATACCGAAACTGAATATGGAGGCCGCGGATTGCGGAACACGCGTTTGGCGAGACAGTTCTTGACTTAGACCCAACTGCGAAGTTATCCTTGGTGACAGAGGCTTATTTCTACTTGCTAAGCATATATAAACAACAGAGTTATGTCATCCCTGGTGGCGAAGCAGACAGAAGAATAAGACAATTACAGTAGGATCAGGAACTGTAAGATGAAGTTACGTTGATGGAATGGAATCAATACCAAGGTTCCAAATGCCTTGTTATGGTACAAGGTTGAGTGCCCATTTCCAGGGCTGAGACATTAGCGGGCACCTTCTAAATTTAGTGCTGTGAGAACTAAATTCAGTGGACCAACCCCACTGTTCCTCCCGCTGAGTTTTGCTGGGTTTATGCGGCAAGGCTGACTTGAGGTTCCAAACGGTTTCTTATATTTCAATACTACGATAATAAAAAGGAAAAAAACAGCAAAATCCTATTCAAGCCGTCGAGGCTGTTTAAATGCGTAATCTGGGAATCGAACCCAGGGCTCCCCGAGGCTGGTCATGTGACTGGCAACGGAGAATTTTACCACTAAACCAATTACGCTGGTTGTTGTTGTTGAAGATGATGCTACTGTAACGGCTCATGGAGGCGAAAGAGCAAGTACGAGGTACTGTCATGTAGTTTAAAGATCATTGACTCATTTTGCTTGCCGAGTCATCTTTTTGTTGGTTGTTGATGTGAATACATGGAACTATTGTTCTGTTGTCATGTCGCTGAGTCGGGTCCTAGAAATATCACCAGCCAACGTGGTACAGTCACTCAGCTTATGGAAGGGAGTGACCCGCGGCATTCCACTGACTATACCCATTCCACCATCCATGCAGCGATGACAAGTCAGCTTGTCCAATGTCTTACTCCTGTCATCGAATACACTTCCCTTTTCAGCTACACGTCGGCCGTGGAAACCACCGGCCTCCGCGGTCCAGACTATAGTCATCTACCCAATGGAGTAAACGCCAAGTTGACTCAACCAGCATCATCTTCCATGTCAGCAAAAGCAAAGCCCCCACCAATATTCATACGCTGTCACTCCTGTTCGGGGGGGCTGAGATTTCGTACCGGGATCACGTTACGCCCGCTTTTGATTGGCGAGCTATTTTTGTGATCGACATGACCAACCGGATGGATTCGTCATGCCCAGCTCAAAGCCTCAATCCCATAATAATACATACGCGGGTGGCTTAAACAAAAAGAGGAATTACGAAGCGAAATGACAAAGGAGCCAGAGGATTTGGGACAAAAGATACATGATCCTTTGTTTCTTCATATTTGAACAGGTCTCGTTATCCAGTTGGCGTTTTGCTTTTCATTTCATTATCTGTTTTTTTCGTACATACACAATGAGCGACTACAGTGACCCTCAATTAACCCCAAACGGAAAGGTGTCCAAAGCGAAAAAGGGGAAACCTGTTCACGTCTGCACAGAATGTCATAAGGTAAGAGACACGAACTTACGACTCGGATCAATACTAAATGTGTCAGGTGTATACTAGAGCCGAACATTTGAGGTAATTTACTTAACAGTACTGCAACGGCGAGTCGAAATACTAAATAATGACAGACGGCATCAAACTTCTCACGAAGAACCACAATATCAATGTCACATTTGCGAAAGGCGTTTTCATAGACGGGATTTATTAGAAAGACATTTTAGACGGTTCGTACCAGTCATCCGTGAACTGGCAATTTACTGACACATAACCCAGACATGAAGGCGAAGCCGAGCCAGGCCAGGACGACTACCAGCAATAATCGACGACACGCGAACTGTTGAGCTAGAGATCGAATGACTAGCAAATGGATATTACCATGATTCAACAATCATGAAATTTGTGTATTTTTTACTGTGTACGAGTGTAAGGATGACAGGGTATTGGGATTGTGGGCGGATTGTTGAATGGATTGTTATTTTAATGGTTACATAGCGTGTTATCGTAATTTAGACTCATTTTAGCACTATAAGTTCTGTACAGCGTTTATTCAGACGAACGTTTACGCATTTTTCTGTCTAATTTCCCTCGTCCTCATCCTCATCCTCATCCTCATCCTCATCTTCATCAACATCTGGCACGTCGATACCAAGCTCAACCAAGAACTGAGCAATCTCTGGCTTTTCCCTCGCGCACTCTTCAAGATCCTCCTCATCGAGAGTACTCACATCAGCGCCATACTCAATAAGCAACTTGACCGAAGCCAAATTCCCATGTACTACACAAATGGCCAAAGGCGTCAAACCATCTCTATCCTTGACAGCCACATCACTACCAGCAAGCAACAAGCTCTTTAGAGTAACAGACTCGTCTTCAATACCCGCTGCCACATGTAATGCTGTTTGACCACTCCCATCTCGAGCTTCAAGATGAGCCCCATCGCTGATGAGTCTTTGCACCATCATATCGGCGACTCCTAAACTTGCTGCGAGATGAAGCGCAGTATAGCCTGCTGTGTAACAGCGCCATCGTTCGCATGACCTTTCGCATTCGTCATAGGATTCGTCATCTAAATATGGCCATGCTTCAGCAGCTTGTTGGTAAGACTCGATGGACCCTTGTGAAGCAGTCAGGGCCAGGAAGTACGATTCGAAACAATCGCCCTTTGTGAGGTTGGGTGCCAAGCTTCTGGCTGCATACCAAAGATATGGATGAGCCCGGAATCTCTCTTTCAATTGCGCAGAAGACTTTGAGGCCCCGTTCGCAAAGTCTTCCTTCGAAAGATACTTCATGGTAACTCTCGTGTATACCTGGTGGTGAAAGTTTGTGAGGACATGAGTGCGAAGGTGTTCCATCAACAGTGGAGATCGCATTACTATGGTCTGGTTCTTGTCGTTCAGAAAGATAAGTCCTTGGCAAGATTTCAGAATTTCGGAGGCCGTAAATGGATTTCCATCTGGTCGTCTGGTACCCCAAGCATCAAGAGCTTCGTGCGCCATGGGGACGGTAAATAGATACCCCATCTTGTCAATGACAATGAGATGATAGAGCACACACATGATAATATTGGCGTCTTTGGAGGACTTGATGTCTTCCATAACCGCTTCGCAGAATGCTCTTGACACATCTTCTTTCGACTCTGGCGGCGATGACTCGACAAGGTCGAGAAACACACTGTTTGGTTGCGAGGCAATGTTGCTGAACCATTGAGGCAAAAGTGGCACATATCTAAAGAGAGTGAGTATAATATTCTTTGCAGCGACTAGTATACTGACAAGCCGTTGGAGAGATCGAAGAACTTCTTATAAGGAAAGAGTCTGACGCGCGCAGGGTCGGGAAACTCGGCGTTGACAGGAGATTCGTCGATGTAGCTGGCAAAGTAAAGTCCAATGTCCGACTCAGGAGCGTGGGCTTCAATCTCTGATATTCCAAGGTCGATCCTGTCGAGTGCATTGGGAAAGGGAAGTCTACTTGTTATCAAGATCTTCAGCGAGGGAATTATCCTTTCATCAAACAGAAGATGACAAAGATCGTTCAGGCCAGACTCGTTCGTCGCATCTACACCATCTAGAATGACGATAATCTTGTCAAATGCAGATGACATTTGCTCAATGATCTTGGAAGAAACGTCTAAACACGGGGTCTCCATTTCTTCATTGTCGGTAATACTCTGCCATAGGCCGAGCGAGTCTGGAGTTTGGGACACGAGTTGCCTAGTGATGGATCGGAATGCAAGATCGTAATCGGCGAGATTATGCTGTATATCGATGCGTCCGAAGTAAAAGACACCACATGCGACGCTTCCGTATTGGCCCTGATGAATGTGGTTGACTAGACTTGAACTTCAAGGTTGTTAGAACTGATTCTAAGACGTGTGTTTTTGTGCAGTACCTGAGAAATGTTTTCCCACTTGCACCTGCGACTTATTAGCATGCGCTACTATAGACATCGAAACACCTACTAGGTCCATGTAACCAGAGAATGTGATGTCCATCGCCATTCAACCAAGCTTGTGTCGTTTCGTGGTTTAGAAACCATTGACAGGTTCCGGGAATGCGGGCATTGTCGAGAATTCGTTGCTGCGTTGGGTATTTGTCACCGGGATACAGTTTCTCGAGTTTCTTGTAGGCCGTGGTCATTTCCATTTTGCAGAAGGAAACTTGTTAAAAGTCTTTGAAGAGTCTGCATCATCTCATTGTTTACATTCACGATGTTAAGGATTGCTGACAGACCCCACTTTAGGCAACAGAGGGATCAAAGCGGACAAGCAACCACGGTCACAGTAGTCACCACCACTTGAAAGCGACAAACAAATTCACACAATGATATACCTATATCGTTCATCATCCTGTTGCTATGATCCCCCTCGTACAAGATGCCACCAAAAAGATCTTTAATTCTTCAATTCTATTCATGCGGGGTTGTTCTCTTGTTCTTGTCTCATTCCTATCTCAGTCTAGTGCTTCCAAAGAACTTTTGATCGTTAAGCTTATTCGTATGGTTCTTGATCCTTGCAGTTCAAACCAGGGTCTCTGACCTGCCAGATTGGCTCATCACTAAACAATTTGCCATTATCTCTCTGTTTATCGTCTCGGCAGACTCAATCTTTGCGGGGTTTTCTCCAACCATCAAAAGGACCCGTAGACGATGCAACCCCAATCGGAGGATGGTCCAACTTGTCGGTAGATGAAAGTATTTTATCCAGTTGTTTCGATGGCTGTTATGATCACCAAAGACGGCATTGTCGTTTCGACATGTCAATTGATCCAATTCCAAGTATGTTGCTTATGTTGTCGAGGGCTACCATAAGCATTGAGTCAAACACCAAGTCCCCGAACACAACATCGTCACCGCTCGCGATAAGACCCATGCCCAGCCCCAACTTAAAAAAGTACCTACATATCGATCATCACGCCCACTTCTTGGCATGAATCGACCTTCCCTAACAGAAACTATACCCGGGGCTTATGTCTTCTGGGCATGACGATTGCGATTCATGGCGTCACGTTATCCAGTCTGCATCTCATTATAAATTGAGACAATGCCCTCCATCTTCAAAATGAACAGTCATCCCCTCTACGTCAATTCAAGGGCAATTCCTCAAGATGAGATTCAGCACTACACTCGCGACTTTGTTGTCGCTGGCTCCTGGCCATGCATTGGCCAAGGGTAAGAAGCTCGACTCGAAGAAGTTCCAGGCCGACATCAAGACTAAGAAGTAATCAACAACACCCATTTTCCATAACAAAGCTCACCGTAAATAGTCTCATGTCCAACCTTGAAGCTCTAAACGACATCGCTTTCGACAACGGTGGCAACAGAGCCTTTGGTCTTCCTGGCTACGACGCCTCCGTCGACTTCATCTACAAGCGAGCATCCAAGGTTAAGAACGCCAAGGTCTGGAAACAGAACTTCCCCGCCCTCTTTGCCTACGTCGACTCAATCGATCTCAAAGTCGACGACAAGTCAATCTACGTCTACGGCTTGACCTACTCCCCCTCTACTACTGCAGAGGGTATCACCGCCGAGATTGCGCTTGGTCCTGAAGGCGCTGCTGGTTGCGACGCTTCTTCGTACGATGGTCTTGACGTCAAGGGCAAGATTGTGCTGGTG